TAGATGGGAGGAGGTGAAGGAAACAAATGCAGTATAGTATTATGAACTGGATATTGAAACAAAAATGACATTAATTGAAAAACAGACATTTGAATAAAAGTTAATAGCTTAATGATTTTTTTTAACAGTGTCTTAGTTTTGGTAAATGTACTATGGTTATGTCAGATGTTAATTTTAGGGAAAACTTAGTGAAGGGAATGTGGAAAATTCGAGCTATCTTTACTATTCTTCTGTAAATCTTATGTTATCTCAAAACAAAGATTTAAAAGCCATTCAGTAGATTGTTTTTCTTCTAAAGAAAAAAACTAAAATGGTAAGTTCTGAAAACTGGAAGAGACTTACCTCTTTAATTTAAACACAGATATTTATTTTATATCATCACTACACTCTTAACATTTTTAAGAAAGACAACTTGATACTTGGAAGAATGCAGTGATAGATGGGCAAAATCTGAAAAGCCTGCTAGTATCTGAAGGATATAGTTAGGTAATTGCAAGGTGGAGGCAAAGATTATACAGGAATATTTATTTATGTGTTCAATAGCATGTATCCACCACCTAATATGTGCCAGGTTTTATCTTAGAAATAAAATGTGACTGTTACAAAGAGGTGCGTATCTTCTGGAACTTATACCTTAAAGACTTGGAAGCTTTTCAGTTAATCCTAGAAATATAATCTTCTTGATAAATGAAGAATATTTTGAATCAAATAAAGCCTTTCATATATCTATTTGGATGTCTATTTAAATAAGTCAAGATTGTATATGAATTAAAATATTTTTAATGTGTTTAATCAGAATTAAGCAAACACTTGAGAAATGTTAATGTAACTGATTTTTCACTGTTAAATGTATGATTTAAAAAATTTTAAAAATAATACTTATTTTTATGAGTATAAATTTACAGTATGTAATGATTACAGTCCTTGTGGGGAATTGGTACATGTATGCAACACATCACAATTCTTTTATTTTTCCTTCCCTTTCACCTCTTTTTCTAAAAAAAATTCTTTTTGCCAGCATCAGATACATTAGTCCTAATCAAGTTAATTATCACAATTATATATTAAGAGCCAGACTAATAGGTCAAAAAACATAAAAAACAGATAATTATACTAAATCAAGGTACACTTTTAGGTACATTGCCTGTGTTGATTACAATAACATGTTTCCTCTCTCTTTTTTCCTACTGTCTTTTTTATTTTGCACTTTATATATATGGACTTCTCATGTAAGAGAAACCATGCTATATTCAAGCTCGTGTGTCTGATTTACTTCACTTAACATTATTGTCTCAAAGTGCATCCATCTTCCTGCAACTGAGTTGACTTTATCCTTCTTTATGGCAGAGTCGTACTCCATTGTATATAAATACAACATTTTCTTTATCCATTCATCTGTTGATGGACATATAGGCTACTTTCAAGATTTAGCTATTATGCATTGTGCTGCTATAAACATGGGTATGCAGGGCCTGGGATTTAGCTCAGTGGTTCTACTGCCTGCCTTGCTCAAGGTCCCAAGTTTGATCCCTGGTACCAACCCCCCCCCCCCCCCAAAACATGGATATGCATACATCATTGTGATGCAATGTCTTTAATTCTTTTGGGAAGATACCTAGAAAGGGAGTAGATGAGTCAAATGGAATTTCTAGTATTATTCTTTTGCCTACACTGTGTCTTCAGTAGTTTTGTCTATTTAGTCTTTCAGGAGATTATTTTTGTTTTACTATTTAGATCTTTGATCTATTTTGCTTTTTTTGTTTTTTTTGTTTTGGTACTGGGGATCAAACTCGGGACCTTGTACTTGCAAGGCAGGCAGCAGAGCCACTGGGCTAAATCCCCAGCCCTGATCTATTTTGATTTTAGCTTAGTGCATGGTGAGATATAATGGGGTTGTCTCGATCTTTGGCTTGTGGATAGCCCGTTCTCCCAGCACCATTTGGTAAAGAGGCTATCTTTCCTCTAGTGAAAGGATTTGGCTGGCCCCTTTGTCAAAGAATAGGTAGCTGAGTATGCCTGAGGTTGTTTCTGTGTCCTGTATTCTGTTCCATTGATCTACAGGCCTGTTTTTTTTTTTTTTTTTAATTTGTTTTGTTTTGCCAATACTGTGGTGTTTTTTATCACTGTAGCTTTGTAGTGCAGTTAATTTGAAGTTCAGGATTACGATGCCCGTTGCATGGCCCTTGTTGTCCAGAATTGCTTTTGCTACTCTAGGTCTCTTCTGGTTCCATATGAGTTTTAGGTTTGCTTTCTCCAGTTACGTGAGGAATGGTATTGGCATTTTTTGTTTGTTTGTTTGTTTTGTTTTGTTTTTGGAACCGGGGATCGAACTCGGGTCCTTGCTCTTGCGCAGCAGGCGGGGAAACCACTGAGCTAAATCCCTGGCCCAGCATTTTGATTGGGATTGCATTAAATCTGTTTAATAGTTTTAGAGTTAAAGGCATTTTGACTATATTGCTTCTGCCTATGCAACATTGGGGATATCTTTCCATTTTCTGACTTAATACTTGGAAATCGTGGGAAAAGGGCAGAGATAGAGTCTTTCCAGTTTATTAACTGGAAAAATTTCTTCACTGAAAAATTTTGAGGGTTTAAATTCGTAAGTAAATTAAACTCAAGAGTAAGCAGAGGACAGAGGAACAGACAATCTGAGGCATGAAAAACACACAGAATCACATGGGAGGGATCATTTCATCTTAGCAAGTATAAGCTGGAATCTTCTGAGATGGATTTTGAATTCACCTTTGGATGGCAATGGTGTGTGGGACAATCCCTTCTTGAGCTGCTCACTCCTTCTATTCTTTACCTGTTATGGCCTCGAATGACCTCACTTAGCCTGGATCAAGCTTCACTGTATACTCCTTTGGAGTGGCTTCTACTCAGGAGTTTGAATGTAGAAGTAGAAGCTGACAGATTACAGTTTAATCTAACTTGTCAGTTGCCTGAAGAAGTCTTCCTCTTAATCTGCCCTTTGTAGAAAATCCCAGGCTGACTTTTAGTCCAATGGAAAGCTTTGAAAAGAAAGATACTGATTAAGTGTAACTGTTAAAAAGATGAGACGGGGCAGGGATTTAGCTCAGTGGTTCCAGTTCTTGCCTCTCAAGCACAAGGTGCCAAGTTCGATCCCCAGTACAAAAAAAGAGAGACAGAATGAAATGGTGATGTTGTAGAAAAGAAAGTTCTAAATTTTACAGAATGGATTGATGAAGCAGTATAACAATAACTTCTTTATAGCCTTTTTTCACATTTCTCTTACAGACACTATCCCTGGGTAGGGAACATACTAAAGAATCATGGAGGACTGGGGATTTAGCCCAGTGGTTCTGGTGCCTGCCTTGCAAGCACAAGGTCTCAAGTTTGATCCCCGGTACAAAAAAAAAAAAAAAAGAATCATGGAAATAATAAAGCAGTAATTTTCAAGTTTCTAGGATTTTGATCAGAGAAAATGTATAAACATCCTACCAGCTGAAATTGATTACACCATACATACAGAAATAGTATTACAAATTCCACTTACCATACAATCAAGATCATTTGATAAGTACCTGTGAGGAATTATGATTTTAATAATAGTAAATGTTGACTTTTATTACACATTTGTTGTGTGCTAGATATCAACCTATGTGCTTTACAAGTATCAAGCTATTCAGTCTTCGACTAAACATTGTTTAAGGTTGGTAGTATTATTTCAACCTGGAGAGCCAGTGAGGCAGGTCCAAAATCTACATCTTGTCCTCATCATTAAGTAAATGATTTAGTCAAGTTATTTAACTTCTTCTGCCCCAATATTCCTCTTGATAATAACTCATGGAGTTATGAGGATTACATGTATACATTTAATATATATTGTGCATTTATTTAATGTATTTAAACATAATGCCTGTAATACTAAAGACTATAAGAGTGTTATAGTCATATCAGAATTATTTTTTATTTTAAAATACTTTTCTGCCTATTTAATTGATATTTTACTAATAAGACTAGGAGTCATGGTAGAGCAAGCTCATCTCTTGGGTAGACATTCATACTTATTTTATATATACATGTAGTAGTAGCCCCATGGATAATTAAATCTAAATCTAAATCTAAACCTAAATCTTTGCATAGTAAATAGACATAGGAGGTATTTGAATATATAATATAATGAAATTGATTATGATCAGTATACTTACACCAAAGCATATTTTAACATATTTTGCTGTTTGCTTAAAAATTGTTTTTCTATTGATCTTGTCGGAAAGGATTTCAGGCAGTTTGGGTTTTTTTAATTTGTGTGGCCTTACACATACACCTGGTAATGTCTATAAGTACTAAATTTGTCAAAAAAATTTTTTTTGAAAGTAGAATACCTTTTACATATTAAAAAGTCCACTCTAAGTGTAAGTTTTTCCTTAAATTTAGTTCTTTTTAACATAGAAACAAAATAAAACACAATTTTGTGGTTAATTTTAGAGATATATGTTTTCTTAAAGTTCTTTTCCATTTTATTAAAGGGGAAACTGTAGAAATGAATGCTTTCTTTTCTAAACATGAAGTAGAATTTGAATAGCCACTTACGTGTGTTGGAAAAAAAATGTCACATACGTATTGATGATACCTTAAGTTTGTTTCTATAGTGTGGACTCTTAGAATTTGAAAAACTAGTGGGCTAGGTTTTGGTATTATGTCTAAATAGTTGAGCAGATTATGTACTTAAATACTATTATTTTAGTAGGCGGTACGTTTTGTTTGTTTTCAAGGTAACTGTTAGCTGTATAGGCTCTCTAAAGGTGTAACAAGATTCCCAAAGATGGAGGGAAAATGAAACTTTAGTGGAAAGTGATTAGAAATATCAAGAAATTGGAGTATTCCTAGGGCTTCAATGAAGGCACAGGTTGTAATTCATTTATAGATTTTGTGCAACTCCTAACAGCCTCCTCAGACTTAATAAATCCTAGTAGTGACTTTCAGTTTTATACATATTCTGGAATAATATATTCTTTTCTACTCTTTCATTGTAGGTATTGAGGAAACATGAAACTAAAGCAGAAGAGAAAGAGGGAGTAATGAAAAATAAGCTAAGACAAACTGAAAGTGAAAAGAGTCAAGTAAGATTTTGAGCATTATCTTTCAAATAATAATGTGGTTTGGGATCAGTAATATCTGTTGTGGGCCTTGAAACACATGTCTGAGGTTGTTCACTACATCACAGCAAAGCCTTTATGCTTTGATGTGAGTTTGGTTTGACGGCTCTGCTGCCCTTTACTGTGTACACACAAATGCACAGGTTACCTGCTACCTTGTCACCTCTGGCTGCTCTCCTTTTTGAGAGGTGAATTAAACTTTTTGTTGCAATTAAAGGATTTGATTTTGTTGCAGTTTTAGGAAGGACTTATTGTTTGAAGGCTGTATATTTTGGATATATTTATTTTCATTATAGAAGAAGGATATTGGTAGCTTAGTTCTGAAAACATCCTCTGTGCTCATTATATTTTGCATAATTGCCATTTGATATCAAAACCCAGAAATTGACATTGGTGTAATCACAGAACTTATGCAGATTTTGCCAGTTTTTTTGTTTTACTTGTTTTCTGAGTGCATATGTGTGTTTGTATCTGTGTTTGTAGTTCTGTCCAGCTCTAGCTCATGTGCAGATTCCTTTTACCATTGCCACAGTCACGAAACAGAGCTGTTCTATCACTGTGAGGCTCTTTCATGCTCCTTGATAGGCACATCTACCACAAGTACCGTTTTTAAAGATTAATATGTTATACAGCAATTTGTTTACATGCAGTTATTCAGGATGACTATTAAAAACCTTAGCACTTAAAAACATCTTAATATAGCTTTGTGATTTACCAAAACAGCTTTATTGTTACGAAATGCAAACAAATATAGCATATGGAAGCTCTAAATTTTGAACAAACTTGTGTCCCATGTTACCACATTTTTCAGCTTGAAATAAAGTAGACATATTCAGACTTTGTAGGGTATTTAGCCAACTAACTAGCTACATTTTCCATGAATATTTAATTAGTAGCAATATTATTAATGATAGTCCAAGTATCTTATTCTGAATTTGGAAATTTAAAAGTTTTAGGAATATTTTATGAATATTAGAGATATAAGAAACCACCAATTAGATTAAATGTTCTTTGAATCATTAGGTCTCTGCAGTTTTTATTCTAATTTAGTTCATTTGACATTACATGTTCTAATTTAAAGGAAAAAAATTGTTTCAGAATTTAGATTAAAATGATTTAGAACTGAAAGGGATCTCAGGAGGCTCTAATGTAAAGTCCTTACTTTAGACATGAATTGAGGCTCAAGAAAAGATTTAAACATTATCACACTTGGATGGAACTGACTAGATCTCAGACCTCTAGGAGGCCTGGTCTAGTGCACTTTATGTTATGAAATTAAAATTAAAATCATTTAAATGGAGTATTTATACATGTTTATGATGAGATATTTATCCTTGCATATTGCTTGTAAATATCTCCTGAAAAATGTTCTGCTATTTTCCTTCTGTGGTATGCCTCATAGGCCCTATTTTGTCCATTGGGGCACAATTTATTTTCTGCTCAATTGGACATTTAAAAAAAATCCTTTATTGAAACTCTAGCTTGAACAGGAATTGGAGCTATCTCGAAGGCTATTGAATCAGTCAGAAGACAGCAGAGAAATACTTTTACATCAGGTAAGTCTATGCAAACAATGAGAATCTGCTATTACGTGAAATCAGGATTGAGTCTTATTCTCTCTTAACTGTCTTTGTGAAATGAAGAAGAAACTAAGTCTAAAAATTTTTTCCCCTGAGGAACTTATGTTAACCCACATAAGCAAAAGATGAAGATTCTGAAAAACCTTATACAAAATACCAGTCCAAGTTCCCACTGTGACAGTGTATCTTGCTAGTTGCTACTCCAACCACTTATCTCTCTTAACATGAGCATTGTAAAAATAAGACTGGATGTGTAAGATAAATTTTTTCCAGGAGCTTAATTTTATTCAAGGAGGCAATGGAGAATAAAGGAGGACCTAAAATACATAAAATGGCACTTTGAATATTCAAGTTACTTTGAATACACCATTGCCTTTTATTCATGTTTTCAAGGTGCTACCCGGCCCCTTTTAAGCAAGGATAGGGCTTAATTTTTAAGGATAATGTTTTGAAGTTCATTAGCCTGGAATGGGAGTTTGGTGCTTCTTAGAACTTTAGCCATCTTACGTACAGTGAATATGGGTGTATGGGTTTTTCTCTGCCTCTTTGTGTTTAATACAAAGCACAATTGTGCCTTCTGTTTTGAGATGCATGTTGCATAACTCACCCACGTAATATGCTCTGTAGGCAAAGATGTCAGCCATCATAGATGTTCAGAAGGAGTTTAGCATTTTGACAATTGCTGCTGAAAATACACCATAGCACCTGTTTTATAAAACCTTTAAAAATGTTCATTGACTTTTTCTGCTGCCAGTGGGTCACATGGAATCAATGTTGGCAGAATTCAGAATTTTTTTTAAAGTTGTATTTGTATTTAATTCCATTTGATTTTTTTTGGAACTCTTGTGTGTGATCTCTAATATCAGTTTTTGAAGTAAGAGATTTCTTTGTTCAGGGTGTCACTGTGAACTTAGCTGAATCCTTTTGCCACTGCTAACTTGTTTATGGTCATTGGAGATTTACCTGTTATCTCATAGGCAATTTGCTAATCTCTTTTTAGAAACATAAAGATGAATAAAACATCCTGATTTTAAAATTCATACTTTATTCAACAGCATCTATTGCCTATTTATTTTGAACTGTATTTTGATATCAAAATATGCTAAACCATGATCCCTTCACTTGAGTTTAACAACCAACAGACCATGTTCACATGAAAGAAAATAAATGAAAAATAAAAAACTAAAAATAGGTAGTTCTTATTTGGAAGTGATTTGAGCTAATAGTAGTGGAGTGGACTGAGATCAAAATAAGGAATTTAAAAAGACTTGGTTGGCCCTAGGATGTACCTCAGTGGTAGAGTACTTGCCAAGCATATGCACGTCTCTGAGTCCAGTGCCCAGCATCACAAAACAAAAAACAAAACAGAACAAAATGATGTGAAATTCTTTATTGATGCAGAGAAGGAAAAGACACTCTTTCCATGTGGAAGAATGGAAGAGTGGAAAAACCAAGCAGGATACCCCTGCTGGATATCTTCCCCAAAGAGTCAAAGACCTCATATTTCAGTGATACATGCATACTCATGTGTATAACAGCACAACTCTTAACAGCTACATCTTGGAAGCAGCCTGTGTGCCTGTCAACAGATGAATGGATAAACAAAATGTGATATATGTACACAGTGGAGAAGTCCTTGGTCACAAAGAATTCATTTGAGTCATTTATAGGAAAATGTGTGCATCTTGAGACCATAATGTTAAGTGAAATAAATCAGGTACATAAGCACAAATATCACATGATTTCTCTTATATGAGAAACTGAAAATAAAGAGCAAAGTTAAAGATAGATAATATGAAACAGGGTGATAGGTCCTTTACAAATGGAAAGGGGAACTAGAGATTGGGAAAGGAGGAGAGGACAAGGAAAAGTAAAAAGAATTATGATATGTACATGTACCAACTTCCCAAGATGAATGTAATCACTGTGTACAGTAACATGTATTAATAAACATTGAAAAAGGAAAAAAATGGAGCAGGAGTCAGTCCCACTGTGTTTGTGTGGCAAGGAGATTAGATTGACTTGGTTTCAGCTTGTGTCTGCGATAGTCCATAAGATTGTGAATGTTTTTCCCCCAGAGAAATAATTTATAATAATTTTTAAGTTCTGTTTTTTTTCCTGCTTTTGAAAATTGATAAGCGTTCATTTTTGACTAAATGTATTTAGGTAGAAGAACTGCGTACACAACTTACAAAAGCAGAAGGTGATCGGAAGGGTTTACAACTTCAAGTACCCCAGATTTCCAAGCTGCAGTCAAACTGTCAGGATGAACAAGGAGATGACTGGAGGTTTAGGAGAGGTATTATTCTGATTTGTAAATGTGCGGGTTTTTCATTCTCTGAATTCATTCCTCTATTTTGCTCAGTGTCATCCTATTTCTTGATCTACTACAAAATTTTCCAACAACTTGATCATCATTTAGCATCAGTTGTATTTATTCTCTGCTTGATTTCTAAACTTGTTTCAGTTTTCACACCTGCTTATTTCATGGGGCTTTCTCTGAGAGTATGCAAAGGTAATAGTGGAAGTTTTTCCATTTTTTTATTCCTATGCCTGTGTGTGTGTGTGTGTGTGTGTGTGTGTGTGTGTGTTTGTGTGTACTTGGTACTTAAATTGTAAATACACCTATTTTCACCTTTTCTTGTCCTAATTTTTTGATGTATGAACAATTAAAAGTAAGATCTTACCTTTTTGGTTATCTGGAGATTTTGTGACAAAATCTCAGAATTGGTCATGAGCCATATTAGCCAGATTTTTTTAGTATGGGTTAGAAACACATTACATTTGTGTACCTTCTCAGTAGAGATATTGATTTAGATTGTGGAATTTAGTGACTGGTTGTTTTTTCTTTTTGAAAGTTCAGGTTTAACACAAATTGTGTATTTAGATTTTAAAGTGGTTTCTAATAGGCAAGTGCAGATTGGTTAGCTTGAAATTTATTCCAGTAATGAAGCTTTCTACTGAAATGAACACAATATTGGAGAAACTCTCTGTTGTTGTACTGTGGTGCTGGGGACCAATCCCAGGGACCTTGCTTATGCTGAACACATGCTGTACCACTAAGTTACACCCCCGGAACTGGAGAAACTTATAAGCATTTGATGTGCAATTAAATTCAGGGAAGTTAAATATTTCCCCAACACACAGTATGTTGTATTAAGTAGAATTTCTGCATTGCCAGACAAATCTTCAATGATTGGCTGAGGTAGGAGGATTGCCATTAGGTTGAGGCCAGCCTGGGCTACATAGTGAGACCCTGCCTCAAAAAAAAAAGTATATATATATATATATATATTGTGTTAATACTAAGATACTGTGGGCTGAGGTGTTTTCTTCCAAGTTTTATGTACTGAAATCTTAACTCCTGGTACCTTAGGAAGTGAGTGACTGTAGTATTTGGACATAAAGCTAAGGGGCTAAGAGTGTAGCTCAGGGATGGGATGTTTGCCTAGCATGCCTGAGGCCCTAGGCTGAATCCCCAGCACTGCAAAATACCACAAAACAATAATAAGGAAATTAAGTTAAAATGAGGCTATTAGGGCGGGCCATAATCCAGAATGACTGCTGTCCTTATAAAAAGAGGAGATTCAGAAAAAGACAAAATATACACAGAGGTACAACTATGTAAGGGCACAGTGAGAAAGAGAACACCTGCAAGTTAAAGACAGAAGCTTCAACAGAAACCAGCCCTGCCTGTGCCTTGATCTTGTACTTCCAGGCTTCAGGACTTTGAGAAAATAAATTTATGTAGTTTAAAGCACCTGGTCTGTGATAGTTTGTTATTAACACAAAGTAGCAAATTAACACATAGAAAGCAATGTGTGTGGTTAATGGGAACTACTTGTTGTATTATCTTTGAGGAATAGAAAAATCTAACTTAATTACTTATCAAGGCTTTAGAAAATCTGCCTGAAATTTCTCTTATCAATGCAATAATGAACAATTCTAGAGTTTTTCATCTTTATAGAATATTTGCATTATTTAAGGACAGTTTTACAGAAGAAATCATAGTCATTGGAACACTTTAACTGCTGTTTGTTCCTCTGCTCATTGTAAAATGGGTTCTACCTTTGCTTCTAAAATTAGTTTTGCTTGGTTTACTTTTGGGCTCTTCAGTCAAAGCCAAAGGAATCTTTTCACTATTTATAGGGGTGATTGAAAATATGGTAAATGTTTAAAGTAAAAAAGAATTATTACAGTAAATGACACTTTGCCATTAGTCCCCCTCAAAGCAGTCCCTCTTGCTTTAAACATGCCTATCCCATTATTCTCACCACTTTCTGAAGTAGTTCTGGAAATTCTCTTTTGTGAATGTCTTTACAAAGTATGGTCAAAAATATGGTGACTGGCGCACGATGAAGAAGCAGGATCATTAGAGCATTATAGTGTATCCTCTTCTGCCTTATTCATTGGCTCTGGTGTTGTGCAACTTCTGGCTCTTTCTCAAAGTTCAAATGACCAGGATAAGTAAACATTTTGAGTTGAGTCAAGACACTGAGACAGCTAGGATGGTACAACTGAAAATACAAAATGAAGACTTCCAGAATGGCTTCAGAAAGGGACAAGAATGATGGGATAGTGTGTTTGAAGTGAGGGAGAGAGAATATTTTGAGGGCAATTAATGGTACTGTGTCTTTTATTGTAAAAATTTTTAAAAATATGAACATTAATTATATTTTTATATCACACCTCATATTTGTTTCCTGTTTATTTTCTCCAGAGAGCAAGAAAGTGGGAGCAAGACTACACAGGGGACAGGGAGTGTCAGGGGAGGGGGAGAGTGCAAGCCTGTGTATGGTATATGGGAGTCAGACTACCAAAGACCCAACGGGAGAGTTTTTATAACAGAGCCACTTCCATGGTAACTAACCTCCTCCCACAATAATGGCGTTAATCAGTCTATGAGAGTGGAGCCCTCTAACATAGTCACCTCTTCAAGATACCACATCTTAATTTTATTATAGTGGCAAATTGCAGTATTGGAGGAGACACTCAAATCATAGCACAGGCCTAGGTTTATTCTTCCCCAAACTTACCTTATACTGAGGTGTTATAAAATGCAATATGAGATAATCTTGGATCCGGAATAAATATGTAATAGTTATTTATATTTTAAACATGAAAGTGTTTTCAGTTTTGCTAAATTTTGCATAACATATGATAATGTTTATACATGTATATTTATCCATACTAATATTTTATGTGTATATATGTTATGAAATATATACAATATTATATGTCACCATACAAAATATAGTTTTCCTAAAGTATACATATGCATGTGTATATATGTATACATTTGTGCCTCCATATTTAATATAATATATATTCATTAGTATATATATTCATAATTATATTTATGGTATATACATCATGCAGTATATCATTATGTACATACTGTTGAGACATGCTGTATACCCATATGTATACATATACTTATAAAATACATGTTTAAAATGAATGGCTACATGTATTTATGAAATGAATACCTACATTTACACAGGAACAAATATGTACATTTTCAGGTTAGAGACCTAATAGGAGTTGGTGAAGTAGGGCCTACAGGCAAAATCCAGACTGCTACTTGCTTTGCTAAATAAACTTTTTGGAACATAGCTATTCCCATTCATTACTCATTGTTTAGGTTACTTTTGCAGTACAATGGCAGAATTGAGTAGTTGTGACAGAAAGCAGCAGATAGATAAAATACTTGACCCTTTAGAGAAAATGTGTGCTAACCCTTGGACTATAGGATAAAATCTAAGTTGCCTAGCAATGCATAATTTTCCTACTGCTTCTCTCCCTACCCTCATATTATGTCTTAGCCATGTAGAATAGCTGTGAATGCAGTTACCTGGATGGTAAATCCAGTTTTGTACCTCCATGCTTTATAGTATTTCCTTTCCTTAAAATAACAGCTCAGCTCCATCCCTTTGCTTGGTGAAATTTTTGTATCCATTCTTTAAATGTAATTTAGGCCCTAATTCTTCTTACTCTAGTTTTTCACTACCGTAGAGTTAATCACACTGCCTTTTGTTCTGTTTCTCAGTAATGCTCTTGTATCTGTCAGAGCTCGTCTCATGCTGTTGAAAAGCCTGTATGTCTTCCATCGCAAAATGTACAATCTAGAACATTTTAATATTTCTGAAGTTTGGATGTATTTTAGGAATGCTTTATAAATTTGAATTGATAGTTTTGTCTTCATTCTTTTCTTTCCTGCAAAGGAAACTACTGGAAAAATGGTAGCTTTGAATTGATAGTATATATTCCAGTTGCTGACATTTTGGAGTAAAGGAATTACTTTATTTATATCTCTTGTCTGTGATCTGGTAATGCAGGCTCATTGAAGATGGGTTTTTATACTTATCTTTATATTGGAAGAACATGATATTATAGAGCCTGTGTATCACAGAGCAAGAATTTCCTGTTGAATTACATACTAAGTCAGTTTACATTGTTCAATATTATAGTTACAGGAAATAGTCTCAAAATTATTAAAAAGTAGCAAATTGGTAGTCCAACATGATCAGATATTTAGCAGCATCATTTGTTGTTTCTGTTGCAAAAAAAAGGGGTTTATTTCATTGTGTAAACTTCAGTAACTTCAGTTAAATATAAAACCTTGTTTGAAAATTCTCTCAGTATTTTTATTTAAAAGTTTGGCAGTAGAGATGTGAAGAAAATGAAAACTTGTAAGATTTCTTGAAATAAATTGTGCTAGAAATCAGATAAGGTTTAAAATTTTTGTACCAAAATGGAATAATATTGGATGACAATAATATATATGTCTTTGAAAACCATGTGATACTAGACTGGCAAAGTCTGAAATATCTTGAGCATGAGTGTCAGTAGGTAGATTATGTTAGCTAGAGAATTAAAACATCAGGGCTTAGTACCATTGGAAATTACATTCTCCTATGAATAAAGAACAACCATTGAGCTTTACATTTTCTCTTTTAAGGGGTAGAGCGGGAAAAACAGAATCTGGAGAAGCAGATGTCAGATTTGAGAGTGCAGCTGAATTTCAGCACAATGGCATCTGAGTTAGAGGAAGTGAAGCGGTGCATGGAGCGAAAAGACAAGGAGAAAGCAAATTTGTCAGCACAAATAGAGGTGACTTATTTTTAAGCTGTATTTAAAAGACTGCAATTTTATTTAGTACAATTACTTAATGAAGGTTTAACATAAAGATGTATTATTTTTGTGATCTTTAGTTTGAGTATAGATAATATAAAGTAATACTAATAACTTGTTTACTTTATACAGAATTTCCTATGGATTCATTTTTCTCTCATTTGGGACCTCAAAGCGAGGAATCTAGATTATTTTCCCTTTATTATTTCATAGTGAAATCTTCAACTGTTATTAAACTTCAAGATATTTATCTTCTGATAGCAATTGAGCTCTTTCTACAGACAGAAGGGACTTTCTTTTCTGACTGAACAATGAATTATCTTTTATTTAAGGGATGAAACTGGAAGAAAAGAATTATTGCTATTTTTTCTTTGAAACTACACAGGTTTTCAGACCTCCAGCTGTTCTACATGAGGTAGAGTTGCGATGCTTCCATTAATTAGCGGTATGGAACTCATGAATGATGTGGTAGCCATGAATGAAGTGCTACTAGGCATCTGCTGTTTCCTCTTGCCTTTTATCTAGCACAGCTAATTATCAGAAGATATTAAAAATCAAAGGAAAGGACTTCATAAAAGGAAATAAATAAATTATAATTATGTAAATTTGATCAAACATAGATGACACTTTTGGAAATAGATATGTATCAACCTTCCCTTGTATCTGTTTTTATTAGTGCAGTTGTATCTGTTTTATTAGCTGATTATAATAAGTTGCTGCATTTGAAGAATTTTAAAAATTATGATAGATAGAAAATTGGTATTGACAGTACTTAACTTTATATAACCTGAAGGAAATATTCAGTGTTACTCTAGTCTGAGTTTCCCTTTCATCTTGTTAGCATGTCAATAGAAAATGTCTTTTAGATTTTGCTTGACTCAGATTATATAATGAAATGTTGAGATAGTCTTTACAAAGGCTTCTGTATGTTTAATAAATACATACCAGAAATAGTCTCTGAGCAGTGGTAATTACATGACTTTTAAAGTTTGCATCATGGGTATTATTTTGACTCTGGATCCAGCTGATGAAAATGCTAAAATATGATCTTGCTGTGAAGTTAACTATTTTAAAAAACTTTGGTAATGAACAAAAGCTAGAAAAGGCCCCCTTTGCTTGTTATTCTTTTAAAAACACATTAGTTTTTTTTTTCTCTTCCCTCTTTTTCTCTCTTTCCTGTTTTTTTTTTTCTCATTTACTATTTGTAGTATAAATTGGAAAAAATGTCTTAAAATACATGGGCATTAAAAAAAAAATAACCATCAGTAGCCTAATACATGTAGTGTTCTCATCAAGAAGCTTGGCTTTCCTCGGTCCTAGCTTTAATAGTCCTTACTAGCCAGTTTTCACATAGATTAGGAGAAGTGTTTGAATTCTCTTGGATTAGTTTGGGTGGATGTGTTCAGTTTGAATGTGGAAAGCAGCTAGAGAGGGTTGTTACTCACACATACAGTATCATTGGCCTCTGGTCTATGCCAGGCACTGTCCTTGGTGCTAGCAAAGTAGCAGTGGATGAAAACCCACTTGATTGGCTCTGTTGCCTCTGACATTCGAACATTGATAGAGGAGGTTCTTTGAGTTTGTCTTGCTCTGAAGGACTAATCCCTTTTGGAGGGTGAAGTTTTTTTCCTCCAATTGTTGAAAATTACATTACAAAAAGACAGTGTTCAGCCCTGGGAGAAATTGCCAGTTTTAATTTTTCAGATTTTATTTTAAATAAAATAATCAATTTAGTTAAATTTCTATCATTTATTTCAGGCTCAGTAACACTTCCGATTATTATTATTATTATTATTATTTTTTTTGGTACTAGGGATGAATGAAATTCAAGGGTGCTCTGCAACTAAGCTATATTGCCAGCCCTGTCATTATTATTATTATTAATTTATTTTGAGATGGATCTCACTGAGTTACCCAACAGCAGCTGAACTTGCAGTCCTCCTGTTTCAGTCTCCCTAAGTACTGGAATTGTAGGCATGCAGTACTACACCAAGCCTTGTTTATTTTTCATATTTTTTGGTGGGCTTTTGAATATCTTTTATTTCTAAGTTGTTCTCAAAGTGATGCCTGGTGCAGACTTTGTGAGAGATCAGATCAGAAGTCACTGAATTGTAACCACCAGCAGTAGAGAATGTCTCTAATTTAGTTGAATACCATTTACTTTCTGGCCTTTTGTCTGTCTGTCTTTCTTTTTTTCTCTTTCTTTCTTTCTTTCTTTCTTTCTTTCTTTCTTTCTTTCTTTCTTTCTTTCTTGTGCTGAAATTGAATCTGGGGCTTTGCACATGCTTGGCAAATGCTCTACCACTGAGCTACACCACTCAGCTCAATTTCTGCTTCATTTTTAGAAAATCTTAGGTAGTATGGGGCTGTTGTTGCCTTTTACATTCGATGAAAATGGAAATTAATCCTCTTTTGTCACTTATTGAAGATGGAATATGTACAAAAGTGAGGCACAAAATGAGATTACTAGTCAAGCCCAAGAATGTTTATACAGTAACAATTCTTACAATTTGTTCAGTCATTTTCTTTTTAACCTTGACTTCACAACTCTCCTACCGAATCTTATATATGACGTTGTCAGACAGTTCCTATTTTCTTAAGTTCCCTTACTCATTTCCATCTTTTTATCCTTGTTCCAGTTCTTCACTTTTTCTGTAATGTCCTAATGTTTTTCTGTTTTGACCCTAACCTTTTCCCCCACTGAAGCCCTCCTGGGTTCTATCAGCTGTAAGCGATAACCCTTCATGTCATTGTGGTCCTTATGGTGCCATCACACATTATGTTAAGGTATTCTGGATATTTTCTTAAAATTTCAAACTGGATCAAAAAAAAGTAGAAAAGGACATATAGGAGAAGACCAGTTGTCTGGTCAACAAGACTCCATCGACTATCTTTACCTTGGTAAAGATACCATGTTTCAGAATCTTGTTTTCTCATCTGGCAACTTGGGTTTTGCGTGTCTTGGAGTTATTGTTAGCAATGCAACTCATAAGAGAATAGTGTATAAAAGAGTGGCAGTTCATTGATTTGCCCTGTAGGAGCCCCATATAGATTTTTAAAAACTTTTCTCTCTAGCAGGACACCATTCTCCCAATTTTCTATACTTAGGTTTTGGAAGTTGAAATCAAAAATTGCTTGGTGAACACAGGGTCAGAGAATAATGCCTAAAGGGCTGTTTGTCCATAGGCGCAGTACAGTTTCTCACCATCTCACCTCCTTTTAATGAGTCCTTATGACCAGAAATCCTTTTTTACTGTAGCTAGACTTTCTATCTTTATCTGGAATGTGTTGATATGACATTTCTTCTGCTTCTGCTTTGACACTCAATCTTACATTTACTGTTTTTTGTTTTTGATACGTTATTGTCTGCAGATTTTGTTTTGGGCATTTACCAGTTTACATTGATGTTAGAATTCAAATTTGTACATTATGGAAGTCACTTATGAATTAAAGGGTTCTTTCCCTTATCAACTCATAAATGGGTGTGGATTATAAACAGCATCTAATATCTGTGTTCAGCTGTGTTCCCACAGTGTTTTAATATGTATCATGTGTTCAATTAACATTTGTTGACTGAGATAATGTTATAAAATATTATAGTTTTTCTTTAAGCTATCATCAGTTCAGTCATTTCAAATAGCACATTCATTCCTGGAAGACTTGTCAATCTTTAAGGGAACCTTAAAGACTCACTAATTGTGTTAGTGAGACATCGGAATATATATTTTTAGCAGTTGTTTTAAACTGGGGAAAATGGTAAAAATAGCTCTTTGAAAACCTAAGTGGATGGAAGCTACATTTGAGTTTGTGTAATTTATCTTTCACATTGTAACTTAGCTCTTACATCTGCGTATGTGTAGAAAATACTAAGTGCATCTCCCCTTCTAAACTCACGTTAAACCTCATTAACCTTGATAGGCTATTTGTATTCATAAGAATTCCAAGCATCCTTGATCAATGATTCCTCCTGATTTAATCTCTGCCTCCATCTTCCATCAACTTAACTCTTCTTGAAGAAAATTTGACTTTCAAATTCAACTAAGAACTTCAAAAAAAAAAGATGCTGAGCATAATTTAGATTAAATGTTGAAAGTTGTAATTGACAACTGACATGATTATTCATAAGCGGAATATTTTGAGAGAGGATAGTAGAAAAATAATAATAACTTTTTTAGTACAGTAGAAACAGAGGAAAGTTTATTTCTTTTGCCATACTTCTAGCATCGAGTCTTTTAATTCTTGCATTTCTTATATAAATCTGACCACTTTATTCTACAGTACTACCCCCTTCAATACTCCTTTCCTTTCAAGATTATGAGAGATCTAATATCTTAGAGACCTTATTACACTGGCTATAATTTTTTACTGCTTTTTAAAACTTCTTATATTCTTCCTTATCCAAATGTGTGTTGTAAAATAAGATATTACTTGAGTATTAAATAACTTTTAATATCTAGGATAGATTATAGGAAAACAAGTATTGGTAGCAAAATTTTGTAGTCAGAAGCCAGATTTAACCAACTAAGTGGAGATGAGGTTTGCATTTGTTACTATCCAAATTTATTCTGACATTGGAGGAAATTGCTAAGTCCATAAATGCTATATACTCTTTGAGCTTTTCATAAAGAAGACTATTGGCAGAGATGCTTTACAAATAAAATCCCTAAAACTAAATAAGCCTTTACACTTCCTAGAAGACACGATTTAATTTCCACAACCTTTATCTACATGGAAAAAATATGAGTTTCAGCAGTTGGGAAAAAGGTAGCTTTTCTGTTTTTTGTAATTATATTTTTGCATGAATATTTCCAGAAGGTCAGGCAATAGAAGTGGAATGAATTTTTTTTAATGTATCACTAACATTTATTAAAGTTTACCATTTGAATATGGTCAGAAAAGAAACAATTTAGGAATAAAAAAGTCTCTATCCTGCCTCTTTTTTTCTGAAATCATAATAAATTCTCATGTTTTTAATATAT